ATTGCATGAGTTCCTTGTTTTTCAATGCTGCATAGTATTCCATTGTGTGGATATACCACAGCTTCTCTATCCATTCGTTTGTTGATGGGCCCTAATATTCTTATCTATTTTTAAAATAAACTATTTCTCTTTTTTGGTGATTATTGTTTTTAGGACTGAACACTTTTTACTAAGAAGCTATATCTTCATCAGAACCTCCAGATAGCTTCGGTATCTTCATATTTAGATACCGAAGCTATCTTATATCTTGTATAAAATATATATCTAGTGACAAGAAGCTGTGCTGCAGGGAGCTCTGGTGGCCTAGTGGCCAGAGCTGCACATTAATGCTAGAGGTATGCGGTTCGAATCCACCAGATGTTCTGCTGGAGAAGGAGGGGCAATCTCCTCCTGTACCATTCAGATCCTATTTGACAGTACGCACAAAAACATAATAATTTTATTTTATTTTTTTTGGTAAAAAAGAGCTGTGGTTCAATCCCGAAGGCACGTGGTTCAAGGCCATAAGCTGCTCTGCAGAATAAGGATAGACAATCTCCCGGGTGTTTAACTGCCTCTGAAAACCTGCCAGAGGGTCAGCTATGGGTCAGTTCCAACACTACAGTACACAACACAATAACTATATTTATGTCAGAAACTAACTTATTTGATTCCACCAAAAAACAAAAACCTAAACCCCCCACACCTCAAACTTATTTTGTTGATTCAGAATCTACTCACAGCTTATCTATCACTGGCTTTCTAAGGCTGTCAATAGCACAGGAGGAGTTTGTCCATCTTGTTCCCACAGTTTGTTTGTTATGTACAGTCAAGTCAAACTGACTTTTAGCGGACCCTCCAGTGGGTTTTCAGAGTCAGCCAATCATACAGGAGATTATACATTTTTCTCCCTCACAGTAGCTGGTAGATTCAAACTGTGCACCTTTGTGTTGCCAGCATAGCTTCTTACCACTAAGTCACCAGTGCTCTTCTCCAATCAAGCTGGGGTAAATCATGGGTGGTGTGTCATAGTTAATAGTGTGTGCCAACTTGGCCATGATCCTCAGTGTACTGTAACTAAGTCACAGTTTGTGAAGTCTCCTCTAACCCTCCAGGTTTCCAGGGCTGTAAACTGCAATGGGAGGAGATTGTAATTTCTGCGAATTTAAACCTCAGGAGCCACACAGCCCTGCGGGTTAGTAGTGTACCTTGCTATGGTCTAAGTCACCAGAGCTCCTTGCAACTAATCTATATGTTGTAAATTCTAATCTGTCTGTTGTTATAACACAGGATCACCAGGAGATAGAAAAAAAAAAATACAATTAACCTTATCTGACTGAGGATCTCAGGTGGCCCAGTAAGATGGGCAATCCCTTCCCTTACAGTTTACAGACTCTAGAAACCCACTAGGGGGCCAGCTATGAGTTGGTTTTGAGTCATTTTTCTTGTTGTTAAGGGTAGGTAGGTCTTTTGTCCTGAATGGTATTTATGTTTGGACTCTATCAGAAAGCTAGAAAGCTTTTTGTCAGATCTGCACCTGGCTATCTATCTGGTCTGTGGTCGCTAGTGTGCTAGTGGACTTTGGACTTGCTAGTCTCCAAAGTCTGTGGCCCAGCTTCTCAGCAAGGACCCTGGGCTATATCAGCAGCTAAAGCTGATAGTGCTGGAAGCTTGACAGCCTCTTGCCCCAGATGCCTCCATCTTGTGATCTTTTGAACCTTTCCTTCACAAATTTCCATAAAATCAGTCAGTTTCTCTCAGCTCCTGCCCCTCCTCTCTTTCGATCAATCTAGGCCTATTGGTTTTGCTTCACTAGACAACTCAGCCTAAGATAGGCGGGAAAATCTTGCTGTGTTACCTAGAGTTCAGAAATGACTTGTTTTTCTTGGTACTCAATCCACATCAGCCGAAAAAGCGTTTGTGATGATTGAGAGACTATTTTTGGCTTCAGCTTCTCCATCCTAAGCTAATGTAGGAAATAACTCCTATTCTGAAGTAGCTAATATCAAGAGCCTCAAGATAGGTTTCTTGAGAGCAGATACTATGCCAGATTCTCTGACATTCCTGAAAGTGCCTAGCAAAGTGCTGAACACAAGGATTTGATTAATGTTTATTGAATTTAGGCATTCAATAAATATTTATGGAATCTAATTAAGATATTCTACCTGATAAAACCATGTTGTTGTTGTTGTTTTTATGTGCCTGGAGTTAACTGTGACTCATAGCAACCGTATGTAGCCAACTCTATGTAGCTCTGAAGCCTGTTCTGTCCTGAGCGAGTCTCACTGACTCTGACACATCTACTCTCATTGCCCAGTTACTGTATCAGTCTATCTCATCCAGGTTCTTCCTCTCCTGCACTTTTCCTCCACCCTTCCAAGCATGATATCCTTCACTTTATTTCTTCTACATTGAGATGGTTTTCAGAATATATTATTAATACTGTTACTGCTGAGAAAACTTGATAGTAGTTTTGATTTACATATTTATTTATCTAAGTACTACTATTTTGCGATAGGCAGAAAGTC